CTTTCATATGAGATTCATTTGATGGAATTATGATGGAATTATGATGGAATTTTCTTAATTTAGGCTCATTTTGATCTCCTTGATGAGGTAATGGAGTCTTTTCTTAATAAGGTGTTTTAAAAATCTTCTTCTGTGCTTTTATTCTCTCAGAGGATGATTTACTTTAAAGTTGTAGCCACATTTTTAAGCTGTCATTTTTTTTGGCATATATATCTCTTAGTCACTTATATCTTTTTGATAGTGATCTCTTATAAATTATAATGATTAGTATTTGGTTGCTAAGTTATTGCTATGTATGTTTACATAAACTTTAAAAATTTGTGTTTAATTTTTCAGTCTTCTTGAAGAGTAGGTCAAGGGAGAGATTAGGATGTAGGAACAAATGTGGACAACTTTTTGAAAAATTTTGCTCTGAATGAAAAAGAGAAATGAGATGGTAGCTGGAGAGAGAGGTATTTTTGCTTTTTAAAAGATAGATAATATTATAACATATTTATTTGCTGATGGGAATAATATAGGATAGAAGGAGAAATTATTGATGTACGGGAGAGGGTATAGTTATAAAAGCGAAACCCTTGAATATTAAGTCAAAAGGATACAGACTGTCATTGGAGAAATCACTTTATTCATTGTAAAAAGAAGTAAGCTAGTAGAGATAAGTACAAACGTAGAAATTGGGTGAGGGTAAGTGGAAGTGTCCAATTGCTTCAATTTTCTTGATGTGAGATCATCATCAACAGAGGGAGATGGGAGAGGAGAGGATTGTTAGAGATTTGAAGAGAGAGAACAAGGTATCATAGCTATTTATGAGAATGGAAGAACTCAAACATCAGTGAAATGTAGTATGATTATATAGGGCATTGCTGAGCATCAGTTTGAAATTTATGATCATAAATTTGAATGAGGCCAGTCAATATTATATTTTTATATAGTTTATATTCATTGCAATAAGCTTAATTTATTGTTACAGTTACTTTCGGGTGCTTGCTTTGTGGCAGATACTATGCTAAGTGCCTTTTATTAATTATGCTAACACTGAGAGTGTTATTCTGTTATTCCCATTTTATAGATGAAGAAAGAAAAGCACAGAGAGTCTGGATAACTTGCCGAATGTCACAAAACAAGCTTTTGTAATACAATCATGCGTATCACCCCTGAGAATTTACATATTAATATTTACTTTAGATATGTGTGTGTATATATAAATATGTAAGTTAACCATAAAAAGAAATAGCACATTATATAAATGAGTTGAAGCATATTCCATTTCCTTTCCTGGGCATGTTACCTTCCTCCCATTCCTAGAGGCAAACTTCTCATGAGTTTAGTGTGTGTGTAAACTTTCAGTCCGTATATGATTTTAAAAGATTACTTTTCTGTTTTATCAACTTTCTTTATCAGCATTATATACTTCAGTTCTTTTCATGTTAATATATATAAAGTTTATTCCCTTAATTACTGTGTAGTATTTCAATATATAATAAATCATAATATATTTATCCAGTTTCTTTTTTTTTTTTTTTTTTGAGACAGAGTCTCACTTGGTTGTCCAGGCTAGAGTGAGTGCCATGGCGTCAGCCTAGCTCACAGCAACCTCAAACTCCTGGGCTCAAGCGATCCTCCTGCCTCAGCCTCCCAAGTAGCTGGGACTACAGGCATGTGCCACCATGCCCGGCTAATTTTTTACATATATATATCAGTTGGTCAATTAATTTCTTTCTATTTATAGTAGAGACGGGGTCTTGCTCTTGCTCAGGCTGGTTTTGAACTCCTGACCTTGAGCAATCCGCCTGCCTCGGCCTCCCAGAGAGCTAGGATTACAGGCGTGAGCCACCGCGCCCGGCCTATCCAGTTCCTTTTGATGAGCATTTTCCAGTGTTTCACTATTACTAACAATGCTGCAGTTAACACCCCTTTTGCACGTATGTTCTTTAGAGATGAGTCAGGGCAATGGAATTGCTGGGTAATAGAATAAGCATATTTTTGGTTTTGGTAGCTATTGCCCCATTGTCCTCAAGACTGGCTGTGAACGAAATATGTGAGAGTCGCTATTTCTCCAGTACAAATTTTAGTTTGTGAAACTGCTTCACAATGCTCTGTATTTTATTCCCGCCCCTTATTTGTTTTTTCCTCTGATCTGTTTTCTTCTCCCATTCTTTCTATTTAATCATCTTTGTTTGCGGTAGAAAACAAAGGTATGAAAGCAAAAAAGAAAGAAACCTTTCATGTCCTTATTTTCTGCATTTCAGTTCAGTCTTTCATTGGTCATATATGCCTTTCACATAACTTTATCTTATATATGTATGTGTGAATGTACATGTGCTTATGTGTGGGAAGTGTATGTATGTGTTTATGTATGTGAGTGTTGGGTGTGTATGACTTGACCAGAATACCCTTGTTTGCTCATTTTTCAGGAAAGCTTTACTACCTCTGTGACACAATTCCTGATTCCTCAATTAGAATTAGATAGGCCGCCTCTTATACTATTTGTATTTTCCTTTATTAAAACATTAATCACATTATATTTACTTGTTTCTATCACCGTTAGTCTATAAGGGTGGGGACTGTATTGAGACCAACATTGATTGCTCGTGGCTGGCACATGATAAGCCCTGAAGCCCTGGTAGATTAAAGGAATGAATTACTTTTGCCAGTGGAGGGCAACCTGGGCATACAACTTATAGTAAACTCGTAACGAAATTTTTTATTTCTGAGGTTGCTGATATTGTGGGGATGTATTTTAGAAGCAAATGAATTATGTGGTATCTTGAGACCTGATTAAGAAAGAGTTGAAGTTTTTAGGTTTCCCCATTTCATCCCCTTGCCCAACTCTGTCATTTATTAATAATTAAGCCTATGTTTGAAGCACAAAGAGAGAACTCAGTTTAGATCTCAGTGATTGGTATTAGCTTTTTCTTCCACTGGACTAATTCAGACCTGTTGAGACAGCTGTTTGCCAAGATTTTGAAATTATATGAGCCTTCAAGACTATCTGGATCTTTGTCTCCTAGTCACACCCCCCTGACCTTTGGGATCTCATTAAATATAATTCTCTCCTTTAACGCTTGTTGATGCCAGGTGATTTCCTTGGCTTTATGTGGGAGAGATGTATCAGTAAGGACCCATGTGGCTGAGTCAGATGAAAAGTGACATATCCAACATTGATTCTATGAAGTTCATACTATGAACGACTGCCTAGGACAGTCATGAAAGACATGGGGTTGTTCATCTATATCTTTAATACGATAGGAGAGAGTCACACAATTCACTTTTTTTGACATTCTCCATATTTTTGGAGTTGGATGTAGGTATGCATAATCTAGCAAAGTCTGCCATCACCTCTCAAGGATAAGATAGACTACCTATATTTTTCAAGAATGATGAGTTCCACAAGGACCCAGGAATTACTACTTTGTCATCATAAATCATCCCTGGATCAAGACCAGCCTGAGCAAGAGTGAAACCCTGTCTCTACTGAAAATAGAAAGAAATTAGCTAGACAACTAAAAATATATAGAAAAAATTAGCTGGGCATGGTGGCGCATGCCTGTAGTCCCAGCTGCTCGGGAGGCTGAGGCAGGAGGATCGCTTGAGCCAAGAAGTTTGAGGTTGCTGTGAGCTAGGCTGACGCTGCGGCACTCTAGCCCAGGCAACAGAGCGAGACTCTGTCTCAAAAAAAAAAAATCATCTCTGGAGATGAAGGAAGGTGGTTGTAGAAGCACCTGAGTCAGAGTCTGTGTGCAGCTTTTTATCTGTCTAGATGTCCTTAATTTCAGCAGTGGGAACCTTCTGTTCAGCTTTTTTTTTTTTTTTTTTTTTTGAGACAGAGTCTTACTCTCTTACCTGGGGTAGAGTGCCATGGTGTCAGCCTAGTTCACAGCAACCTCAAACTCCTAGGCTCAAGCAATCCTTCTGCCTCAGCCTCCTGGGTAGCTGGGACTACAGGCACACACCACCACGCCTGGCTAATTTTTTCTATTTTTAGTTGTTTGGCTAATTTCTTTGTATTTATAGTAGAGACGGTGTCTCGCTCTTGCTCAGGCTGGTCCTGAACTCTTTAGCTCAAGCAATCCTCCTGCCTCGGCCTCCCAGAAGTGCTAGGATTATAGGCATGAGCCACTGCGCCCAGCCTCTATTCATCTATTGAGTCACATATCCTTCCTTTTAGTTTGGGATGGATGATAAATTCAAAATGTTAATTGTTAGTGAAAGTTTGACCATTGATGACCTCTGAATAATACTCTTTCTGCTTTGGTGACAAATTATGACCTGTTCTGCTAAATTTCTTGCGAAGCTTGCAACATTTTCTTTTTTTTTTCTCTTCTGTTAGTAGCTGTCTCCTCATTCTTTTTTGATGCATCTATTTCTATCCACTATTATTACAATGAAAGTTAATTTATGTACATATATATGTATGTACTAAAACTAAATTCTGTTTTCACTTTTTTTTTTTTTTGAGACAGAGTCTTGCTGTGTTGCTCAGGGTAGAGTGCTATGGCATCAGCCTAGTTCACAGCAACCTCAAATTTTGGTGCTCAGGTGATCCTTCTGCCTCAGCCTTTTGAGTAGTTGGGACTATAGGCATGCACCACCACACCTGGCTAATTTTTTTTATTTTTAGTAGAGATGGGGTCTCGCTCTTGCTCAGGCTGATCTTGAACACCTAAGCTCAAGTGATCCTCCTGCCGCAGGCTCCCAGAATGCTAGAATTATAGGCGTGAGCTATGGTGCTCGGCCTTGTTTTCACATATTCTAATTTACACATAGTAATTGAAAGTTTCAAAATCCAAAGTAACAAATTGTACTTGTGTTTACTACAAAAACAAAGTTATTGCCTATAGCAAAATATGTAGTTTTTCTAAAATTGCTTACGATTGCCAACCAGAATATGGGTTGAAGTTTTAGGAAGCATGAGAGATATCTAAGTTCCATATATTAATCTTAAATAAACTTGATTTATGTTTATATTAATGAAGATATTTTAAAAAATTTTATTCTAGGCCAAATGTATCCTGATCCAGCTCTTCCTCCACAAAGACAAGACAGATTTTATTCTAATTCTGGTAGACTATCTGGACCAGCAGAACTCAGAAGTTTTAACATGCCTTCTTTGGATAAAGTGGGTAAGAAACACTTTGTTTTTTTCTTTCTTTCTTAGTAATGGTGGCATACTTGAGAACTGGAAGCTAGATATATAATTGCTATCTCTGGTAGTTCTTAAGGCCAAAATCTCTTTCCTGAGAATGTCCTGGTTTTATGTTTCTTGTTACATTGTACATAGACACAGCATCTAAATATATGTGGTTTGAGCATCACGGGAATAGGTTTACTGTATAATGCCTATGATGGTGAACTTTACTTTGTTCCATGACTAATTTTCTAATTTTTACAGTCCACTTACATATATGTCCTGTTTAGTAAACAGGGAAATTAGGCAAGCAAATGTGAATGGATATGTGAAAATCCACCAGAAAAAATAACTTAGATGCATGCTTTATTGATGGTTTAATCAGTTACTTTGTTTGAACATTTCATATTTTACTTGTGTTTAGATATATTTAACTAACATTTACTGAGCAATCTACTATTTATAAGGTACTCTTAAACTACCTCAGCAAAATACTAAAATTGGAAAATATATCTCTCCAATGTGTCAATTAAAAGTATACAAAATTAAGAAAAAGAAAAAAAATGTTTTGAAAAGTAGAGAATTTAAAACAAATCTATTGGTAAAAGATTTCCTCAGCAGAGGACATATATTTGGAGAGGGGTATTATCCAGTTGAAATATTTATTATTTTAGAAAATCAATATTTTTAAAATAACAAGGTAAGAAGCAGACCTATAGTCTGTATTTCTATTAGTCATAATTAAGTTAATTTTTCCTGTTTGGATTTAGGAATTGTTTTTTTCCCATTACTTCAGACTTAATGGAATGAAAGTGTATATGTGATTAAACATCCATTTCTAAATTAGTGCTATTTAAAAATTTTTACCTCTTCATTTTTTCCTGCTAGTTGAACAATAATATATAATTGAGCGAATAATTTTTAAGTTCCTACTGTTGAGAAGGCATCCTGTATGACATAATATAGGATATACTTATAATGAGGAGGCATAGTCTCTGCCTATAAGAACCTAATAATACTGGTCAGAATAGTAAGTCCCATTAGAGAGTATGTTGTGTTCAGAGAAAGGGAGAACCCCTGTCTAATTGAAGGATCAGGAAAAACTCAAAGAAGTGACATTTGGGCTCTTTTATAGAAATTTGAAAAATTAATTAGGCAGAAGCAAAAATAAAAAAGAGACAGCACAAGACATTGGTGGATAATGGCTTTAAAACAGATATTTATCAGTTGACAGCACTGTGGAGGGTTTAATGAGTTAATATGCATGGAAGTGTTTTGTAAATGGAAGAGTTCTATATAATATTAATAGTTTGTCAATATATGTACTTATATACATATATCAGTTTATATTCTTACTTTAGTTTGTCAGTTTCTGTCAATACATGGAGAATGGTGAGAAATGTGGTTGAAACATCTTGACTATCAGTAGTGTTCAATAGACATTTATTGAATGAAAATAAATTATCTCATTTAATCTTCATAATAACCCTATGAAGTGTAGATACTTCTATCCTCATTTTATAGATGAAGAAACTGAGGCCCCCCCCAAAGTGCTCAAGATCTCAGGAAGGAAGTATCAGAGGGCAGGATTTGAATCCATGACCATCTAATGCTACAACTGTGGTCTTGATCCCTATACTTTATTGAAATGACAGGGTTGTGGACCCATTGATTGATGCACTGAGTATCTTTTGAATGCTTACTGTATGGCAGACATCATGGTAGTTGTCATATTTCAGGTGAGGACAGAAGACAGGAGCTCAGCATTCCTTATACCTTGAGGTCTTGTAAAGGCCTAAAGGCAGTTACACTACAGAGTGACAATTGTTATGAGTACAACATGTTATGGGAGCATATGGGGCACTAAACCAGATGAATGGTTTGAATATGGGATGGTCAAGAAAAGCTTCTTGGAGGAAGTGACTGAGAATTAAAGGAGGGATTAGCTGGACCAAAATGATGATGGTGATGTTCTAGGAGAAGAGAATAGCATCTTTAAAGATTTAGAGTTAAGGATGCCTAGTAAATTATGGCTGCAACATGGACTACGAGTCAGAGGATATTGGAACAAGTAGCTGAAGAATTAAGTGTTGTATAGATTTTGCAAGGCTTTGCAAAAAAACCCTGTTCTGAAATTTGGACCTTATTCTTAGAATAATGGCAACACACTAAAGGATTTAAAGCAGTGAAATGATATATTAATAGATCTGCTTTTTAGAGAAATTTCTCTGATTGCATTAGGGAGAATAGATTGGGAAAATAAAGAATGGAGCCTGGGTAACTGTTTAGGAAACTATGACAGGAATCTGGATGAGTGATGGTGGTGATTTAGCAGAGGGAGTAGATTGATGTGAACAGACATGGAGAAAATAGAATTGAGAGCATTTAGGATTGAAGGCTTGTGGGAAGTGAGGGAGAAAGGAGTCTTGGCTGATGCCCAGGTTCCTGGTTATGGCACCTGGGTGAACAGAGATGCCATTTATTGTTCTGAGACAAGGAACAAGGAGCAAGTTTGACAAAGATTATAACTCACCTTTTGAATTTACAAAATTAGCGGCACCTGTGATACACCTGCATAAATATTCAAGGAGGCAGGCCAAGCTTTGAAGTCCTGGGGAGCAGTATCTGGTTCTGAATTATCGATAGGGAAATCAGTAGTGATAATATATATCTAATCAAAGCTACGGAATTGAATGGGATTTTTCAAGGAGAGAATGAGAATATAGTATGGCTGAGGGTGGAACTCTGTATGGTCAGAAGCAGTCCCCACCAAAGAGACTGAGAAGCAGTAGCTGGAAAGGACAGCTAGAGAGAAGGAAGGGTCCTGTCACATAAATCAAAGGCTGAGAGCATATCAAGAGGGAAGGAGTGGTCAACATGGTGAGAAGTAATGTAAAATGAAGACTAAAAGTGTATGGTTTTTTTTTTTATTTCCTTTTTTTTTTATTTCAGCATATTATGGGGGTACAAATGTTAAGGTTACATATATTGCCTATGCCCCCCACCCCCCTCCAAAAGTGTCTGTTTTAATTTAGCAAACAAAGAGACCTTTTGATCATGGGGGAAATAATTTTAGTGGAACAGATGTTGCAAATTGATTACAGTAAAATGAGGATAAAGTGGGGGGAATTCAGAACAATATATATAAAACAATCCTTGATTGTAAAGGAGAGAGGTGGCTGGAAGGTAAGTCTCTTTTTCTCTCTCATTTTTAAATTGTCGGTAGAGACTTGGATCTATCAGAAAGGGAGGAGGAGGGAACCAACAGAGATAGGAAGGTGCCTGAGGAGGCTGGAAGAGAGGGATTCTGAGAACAGGATGAGGGCCATAGATTGTCTAGAAAGATCCTTTTCCAGGATAATAGGAGGAAAGGTCATAAAAGTATAGTTGCAGTATGCTCATATGTTTTATCACAAAAAGGGAGAGGGGTTTCTGTTTAGAAGTCCAGTGCACTATCCGTTGTGCCACAGAGCCCGATATGAAGGGAGTTTCTAAGTGACTGGTGTAGTAGGTTTCAGGCAAATGGAGATTTGAAATTGCTGAGGAGAAAGCTGGCTTAAGAGACACAGAAGGAAGGTAAGGCAGTGTGCAGCTGGGAATATGGTAGATCCTGCAGCCTCGATCTCCAGTCTGCATGGCTCTTTGGTTTTTTATTTTTTCCCCCAGCAGTGCTAGGTGGCTCAGGTAATAGGCAGAGTGGAAATAGAAATTTGGATTAATCTGGGCTTGGAATGTTATCAAGTACAATGAAAAAATGAGCAAAAGGGCAAGGATATTGACGGCTGGTTGAAGTGATGGACTTTGGGGTCTGGTTAATTGGGGAAGGAAGTGAAGGAAGGAGGAAACCGACAGGTCAGAGGTTTGTTTGGAAGCGTCAGTGACATCCAAGTACAGGTGTAGTGAGTGTAACTAAATGAGAAAGCTAGAAGAGGCGAGGTAGTAATAGTCAGAGAGAGGGTTGTTTTAATTTATGTCCTCAGAGACCAACCAGTCCTTTTTTTTTTTTTTAAATAGAGACGGGGTCTCACTCTTGCTCAGGCTGGTCTCAAACTCCTGAGCTCAAGCGATTATCCCGCCTCAGCCTCCCAGAGTGCTAGGATTACAGGCGTGAGCCACCGTGCCTGGCCCTAACCAGTTCTTGATAACAACAAAGTTCGGGAACATTTATTTAGGAACAGTGACTAAATTCAAATGGCTGGTCGGTCTTACATGATGGAAGAATAAGGAAAGAAGGAAGGAAGAGGGGGAAGAAGAAAGGAAAGGAGAGAGGGGAAAAATTGGAAGGAGAGGGGTTCTTTTTTTCCAGATATTTCCTTAGGATGCTGTGCTGGTTTCAGTCTATTTTATGTGGCAACAGAGGGAATGGGAAAATATCAATGTCCTTTGTGATCTGGAAAAATTCTAGGAATGGAGTGATAAATCATGTATTTTTCATGGTTTAATTTTTATGTCTAGATGGGCCAGTATCTTCAGAAATGGGATCCAGTAGAAATGATACCAAAGATGATCTTGGTGTAAGTATTGAAAGTGTAATTTTATTTATGTATTCAGGAGCCTTTTAGTCTCTTGGCTTATTAGAATAGAAAGATAGCTAATAATATTATTTTTGATATAAAGCTGCTTCTATCTTTTTGATAGATATACTTACTACTTAGCATTGAAGCTGTTTCTTTTCTAGATTTTATTCTATGATGAAGAAGTACAACTTGCAGACTAGGGATTTTAGTTACTTTACTAGTTAAACGAGATTTTAGATTTTCCCCTTTGGATTTCTGTTTGAATATTTTAAAGTATATTTTTATTTATCACATGTACAATTTTGATTTTGGTCACCTTGAAAATATAAATATTAAACATTTTGCCTTTCCTTTTTTTTCAGTATATGCTTGGTAAAAAATGTATATTCTGGTACTCTAGACTATACTTTTGTTTTAACTTTAGCTAGAATATTATTTTATTGGTTAAAGCTGTTTTGGCCGGGTGTGGTGGCTCACGCCTGTAATCCTAGCACTCTGGGAGGCTGAGGCAGGAGGATCGCTTAAAGACAGGAGTTCGAAACCAGCCTGAGCAAGAGCGAGACCCTGTCTCTACTAAAAATAGAAACAAATTAATTGGCCAACTAAAAAAAATATATATATATATAAAAAGCTGTTTTATGTTTACTTAGAAAATATTTGTGATTGCTAAAAAACAGTCATATTAACATGGAAAACTGAAGCTTGGAACTTTCTAAGACTATCATGGACTCCTTTCTGCCTACATGCTTTCTTCTAAGCTTAAGATTTTTAGGAAAACGATTGCAAATTTTGCTGTTGTTTTAATGAATGCCATATGTCAATTTGTTATAGAATTTAAATGCGCCTGATTCATCTCTCCCTGCTGAAAGTGAAGCAACTGGCCCTGGCTTTGTTCCTCCACCTCTTCCTCCAATGAGAGCACCATTGTTTCCAGTGGATACAAGAGGCTTGTTCATGAGAAGAGGACCTCCTTTTCCTCCACCTCCTTCAGGAAACATGTATGGAACTCCTCGAGGTTATTTTCCACCAAGGGATTTCCCTGGTATACCACCTCCTCCATTTGCAAGTATGCTTTTTTTTTTTTTTTTAAATTCATATGTGTTTTATACAGTAAATCAGAGATATTAATTTTACTATCTATTCATGTAGAAAAACAGTGGAGGAAAAATTTTTCTAGCATTCTGTGAGTGCACCATTATTTTTCCAAATTGGGAAGGCAGCCAGCCATCATCAGTGGACTGTAATGAGGCTTCAACTTGATTCATCTTAGTAATGTGGAATTATTTCTGTATTTTAGTAGTCAAGAATATTGTTGGCTTTTGGCAGCAGTCTTATGATAAAACTAAAATTATCTATATCTCACTTGATAGAGACTGGTTATTGTGGCAATTAGTTAAAATAAGTACAATTTATCTTTTAGTGTTAAAATTACTAAGGTATTTTTAAAAGTCTTTTCCATAAGTCGTTCTCATGTAGTCCTACTTATTTAAAAACTGAAATGTATTTATCATGTTTGGCTAATTGTTAGATGTGTTGAAATTTTTTCATAGCCTCACAAGAGAAACATGGAGTAATTTATTGCTTTATAGCTATACCATTTAGAACTGTTGATTTCTGCAGCATAAATATATGGTTACCAAATCCTAGGCTTTTTATAGTCTTATATACTCATTTCTCCCCTCATCCCCCCTCTATTTTTAAAGTTTACAGTGAATTAAAATGAGTTTCTTTTTCTTTTTTTTTTTTTTTTTTTTTTAGCAGAAATAAAGCAGATGTGATAAAATGAGTTTTGTTTTGGGAACTCTAAGATAGTCTTTTGATATAACTGGAAATGTTTTAGTATAATATTAACTTAGAATTGGGAATCACTGATTTGAATTTTAAGTCTGGTGAAAATTATAGTACATGAAAATGTTTTTTAAAGTAAGTTTTATATATTTTGATATAATTTCTCTCCTTTTTTCAAAGTGTTAAGATAGGACAAAAACTGCGTCTAAAATTAATGATATTCCTATTAATATGTTGTTGAAGAGAGTATATTTTTCTTAATGCTATAAAAATTAATGTTAGATCAGGTAATTCTGGTGGCAATTTTAAAATATAAAATAGATATTAAAAGTTACAAGCTAGTGATTTATTAAGGCTGAAATACAGGTTCTTCAACTTAAAAAATTTTTTTACTAATCTCTTTGAACAGTGAGAAATGTCTATTCACCAAGGGGTCTTCCTCCTTACCTTCCCCCAAGAGCTGGATTTTTCTCCCCACCCCTACATTCTGAAAGTAGAAGTGAGCTCCCTTCTGGGTTGATTCCGCCTTCAAATGAGTCTGCTACTGAACATCCAGAACCACAACAAGAAACCTGACAATATTTTTGCTGTCTTCAAAAGTAATCTTGACTTATCTCTCATTTTCAGTTTAAGTAACTGCTGTTACTTAAGTGATTATACTTTTGCTCAAATTGAAGCTTAATGGAATTATAATTCTCAGGATAGTATTTTGTAAATAAAGATGATTTAAATATGAATCTTATGAGTAAATTATTTTCATTTTATTTTATTCTAGATAGTATAATTAATTTGATTAACTAATTTACTATTACATAAATAATGGGAGTTTTATATATGTAATCTTGTAGGTGGGGATATTATAAATTCCAAAAGCTGTGTCTTTATGCCAAGAACTGTATTTACTATGGTTGTAGACAAATGTGAAAGTACCTTTATGCTTAATTGAATAAATTTTAGTTGATTTAAAGACTTGTTTGGCATTGATAATAAAATCAGCTAGTTTTTCCATAAATAATAGCTTTATTAATTAGTTTTTTTCCTTTACCAGTAACTTTGAGGCTTAAAACTACTAAAGCTTTCTGTGGGTCTTTCAGACTCAATTATTTTAGCACAAATGTATCTCTGTTCTTGCAAATATACATGAAAGACCCAAAGCAACAAATTAATACACTTTTCAGTAAAAATTGAATATATATATTTTAAGGAAAACTGAGATATCTTCTAATACTGAACTTCATAATTTTGATCTTCTTAGTTGATTCACTAGTTTTCTTGAACAATTTCTTGTTTTTCATCTTCATTTGTAAGATATTAATATTTACTGTTTTCTGTGGGGAATGTTGAGTTTACTACAGGATAACTGTATTGAGGCAGTGTGTCGTCATTTTGAGCTTTGAACTCAATATCTTAAAAGTGTTTCCCTAAGTCAGGTTTTCAGCCTATTACTAGTCTTCTTCCCCATAATATGATTAAGAAAGACAGTGCAGTATAACTAATATCATAATACTTACATTGACCAGTTAGTTGTTTACTTGGATTTTTTCTTCAGTGCCAAATAACAGAAGATTAAATATTCTTGAACAAAGCAGTGATGCATTTGTAATTGGAACACTTCATGCCAGCGTTTCTCCAGGTATTGTTTGGAACATTGATCTTGTGAGGTATTTTTACTCCCCTTCCATTCTCACCCTCACTTCAGAAAAAAGGCTAAAAAGAAAGGCTTCATGTGAAATGCTTAGATAAAATATTAAGTAGAATGAGGACTGTGAAAATAGCATTGCATTTGGTGTTTGCTATGGTTTGAATGGTTGTGTCCCTCCAAGATTCATATGTTGAAGTCCTTATCCTGAAGGTGATGGTATTAAGAGGTGGGGATTTTGTGAGATGATTAGGTCCCTAGCTTATCAGCTCATTAGTTTGACATCATTAGGCTAGCCTTAAAGCTATTTGCATATCTTTTTGGAAGAAATGTGTTTTTTGAATTGGGAAGTTGTAGGAGTTCTTATTTTTTAATTTTTTATTGATATATAATATTTGAACATTTTTATGTGGTGCATCTGCAATTTCATTACATGTATGGGATGTGTAATGATCAAGTTAGGGTATTTAAAGTATCCATCACCTGAAGTATTTATCATTTCTATGTCTTGGGGAACTTTTCAAGTCCTGTCTTTTAACTATTTTGAAATATACAATATATTGTTGTTAACTATAGTCATCCTACTCTGCTATCAGACATTAGAACTTATTCTTTGTATCTAACTGTTTGTTTGTATCTATTAACCAGCCTTTCTTCACCCCTCTCCTCCAAGCCTCTGGTAACCAACATTCTACTCTCTACTTCCATGAGATCAACGTTTTTAGCTTTCACATATGAGTGAGAACATGTGCTATTTGTCTTCCTGTGACTGGCTTATTTTACTTCATACAGTGTCCTCTAGTTCCATCCATGTTGGTGCGAGTGACAGGATTTCATTCTTTTTTATGGCCAAATAGTAGTCTATTGTACTTATAAACCACATTTTCTTTATCCATTCATCCATTGCTGGACACTTAGATTCATTCCATATCTTTGCCATTGTGTATAATGCTGCAGTAAACATGGGAGTGCAGGTATCCCTTTGATATACTGATTTCCTTTCCTTTGGATAAGTATCCAGTAGTGGGATCATATGTATATGATACCCTGTTTTCCGTAATGGCTGTACTAATTAACTTTCCCACCAACAGTGTGTAAAAGTTCCCTTTTCTCTGTATTCTTGTCAGCATTATTATTTTTTACCTTTTTAATAATAGACATTTTAACTGGCTTAAGATGATAACTCATCATGGTTTTGATTTGCATTTCCCTGATAGTCATGGTGAGCATTTTTTCATATACATATTGGCCATTTCTATGTCTTCTTTTGTTGCTTAGGCTGGAGTGCAGTGGCACAATCGTAGCTCACTGCAACCTCGCACTCCTAGCCTCAGCAATCCTCCAGCCTCAGCCTCCTGAGTAGCTGGGACTATAGTGCATGCCATTATGCCTGGCTAAATTTTAGTTCTTTTTTTGTTTTAGAGACGAGGTCTCACTATGCTACCAAGTGTGGTCTCAAATTCTTGGCCTCAAGTGATCCTCCCACCCTGGCCTCCCAGAGTGCTGGGATTACAGGCATGAGCCACTGTGTCTAGCCTTTAATGGGATTATTTATTTTTTTCACTGCTGAATTGTTCAAGTTCCTTGTATGTTCTTGAGTTCTTTGAGTCCCTTGTCAGATGAATAGGTTGCCAAATACTTGCTCCCATTTGATGGTTGTCTTTTCACTCTGTTGTTTCATTTGCTATGCAGAAACTTTTAGCTTAATTTAGTCTCTTTGTCTATTTTTGTTTTTGTTGCCTGTGCTTTTGAAGTCTTAGCCATAAAATCTTTACCTAGACCCAATGTCCTATAGTATTTCCCCTTTGTTTTCTTCTAGTAGTTTTATAGTTTTGGATCTTATGTTTAGGTCTTTAATCCATTTTGAGTTGGTATTTGTTGATTTTTTTTGAGAGATAGGGGTCCAGTTTCATTTTTCTGCATATGAATATCTAGTTTTCCCAGCACCATTTATTGAAGAGAGTGTCTTTTCACCCAATGTAATTCTTAACACTTTTTTTGAAAATCAGTTGGCTGTAAATATGTGGATTTATATCCAGGTTTTCAATTCTGTTCTATATATGTCTGTTTTTATACCAGTAACATGCTGTTTTGGTTACTCTAGGCTTATAATGTATTTTGAAGTCAGGTGGTATGATGTTTCCAGCTTTACTCTTTTTGCTCAGGATTACTTTGGCTATTTGGGCTCTTTTTTGGTTCTACACAAATTTTAGGATTTTTTTTATGTCTATGAAAAATGAATTGGTGTTTTGATAGGGATTGCATTGAATCTGTAGATTGCTTTGGGTAATATGGATATTTAACAATATTAATCCTTCTAATCCATGAGCATGGGATATTTTTCCATTTGTTTGTATACTATTCAGTTTCTTTCATCACTGTCTTTTGGTTTTCCTTGTAGAAATCTTTAATCTCCTTGGCATTTAATTTTTTTTATAGCTATCGTAAATGGAATTGCCTTTTTTTCCCCAGCTACTTTATTATTTTTTAATTTTTATTTTATTTCAGCACATTATGGGGGTACAAATGTTTAGGTTACATATATTGCCCTTGCCCCACCTGAGTCAGAGCTTCAAGCATGTCCATCCCTCAGACAGTGTGCACTGCACCCATTACGTGTGTATATACCCATCCTCTCCTCCTCCCTCCCATCTGCCCGATGAATGTTGTTACTATATATGAACTTAAGTGTTGATCAGTTAATATCAATATGATGGTAAGTACATGTGGTGCTTGTTTTTCCATTCTTGGAATACTTCACTTGGTAGAATCGGTTCCAGCTCTATCCAGGAAAATATAAGAGGTTGTATATTACCATTGTTTCTTAAAGCTGAATAGTACTCCATGGTTTACATACACCACATTTTATTAATCCACTCATGTATTGATGGGCACTTGCGTTGTTTCCACAACTTTACAATTATGAATTGTGCTCCTGTAAACATTTGAGTGTAGGTGTCTTTTTTTGTAGAGTGTCATTAGTTCTTTTGGGTAGATGTTGAGTAGTGGCATTTCTGGATCAAATGGTAGATCTACTTGTATGGCTTTAAGGTATCTCCATGTTCTAGCAGTAACATTTGAGTCCTTTCTCTTGTTCATTTGTATGTTTTCTCTACCAGTGAATTATATACTTGATATGGACTTGTTTTCATGATGGGTAGATATTATCCTTTCACTAAGGTTTAGGACTCCCTTAAGCATTTGTTTTCTTTTCTTTCTTTCTTTCTTTCTTTTTTTTTTTTAGAGACAGAATCTCATTCTGTCACCTGGACTAGAGTGCTGTGGCGTCAGCCTAAGCATTTCTTTTTTCTTTTCTTTCTTGTTTTTAGAGACAGAATCTCATTCTGTCACCTGGGCTAGTGTGCTGTGGCATCAGCCTAACCCATGGCAATCTCAAACACGTGGGCTGAAGCAATCCTCCTCCCTCAGCCTCCTGAGTAGCTAGGACTACAGGTGCACACCACCACACCCAGCTAATTTTTACTATTTTAGTAGAGGCAGGGTCTCGCTGTTTCTCAGGCTAGTCTTGAACTCCTGAGCTCAAGTGATCCTCCCACCTTGGCCAGAGTGCTAGGATTATAGGCATGAGCCACTGTGCCCAGCCTCCCTTAAGCATTTCTTGTAGTTCCATTCTACTGGTGATGAATTCCCTTAGTATTTTGTTGTTTGGGAAAGATTTCTCCTTCATTTATGAAGGATAACTTTGCTACGTATATCATTCTTGGCTGACAATTTTTTTCCCCTGTCAACATTTTTAATATATCATCTTATTCTCTCCTGGCCTATAAGATTTCTGCTGAGAAATGTGTTGTTAGTCTGATGAAGTTTCTGTTGTATGTAACAATTCTGTTGATTGTAACTAGATGTTTTTCTCTCGCAGTTTTTAGAAATCTCTCTTTGTCTTTGCCTTTTGACATTTGACCATAATGTGGTATAGAGAAGACCTCTTGGAGTTGCATCTGTTTGAGGATCTCTGAGCTTTCTGTATCTGGATGTCTAAATCTCTTGCTAGACTTGGGAAGTTTTCAGCTGTTATTTTGTTAAATTGGTTTTCTATGCCGTTGGCCTTCTCTTCATTTTCTGGAACACCCCAAATTCAAACATTTGGCTGCTTATGGTGTCACATATGTCACATAGGCTTTGTTCATTTTTATTTATTATTTTTTCTTTTTTTGTCTCACTGAGTTATTTCAGAAGACCTGTCTGAAATACCTCTGCTTTATTTAGTCTCTTGTTAAAACTCTCAAATGTATTTTTCATTCCATGTGTTGTCTTCTTCTATTTGTTTGTTTGTTTAATCATATCTATCTCTCTGGTAGATTTTTCATTCATATACTGAATTGTTTTTCTGATTTCTTTGTATTGTT